TCTACTCCCTTGCCCTTGGTACCAGCAGTCAGGAAGTAAGGAGACACATTGCAATGGGAAAATCTGCAGTTAGGTCCCTTTCCAAATTATTGAGGAGTAGTGATGTCAGTTTGAGGACTAAGGTGCACCAGATTCAGGCCATGGTCTTTCCAATTACTAGCTATGCATCTGAGAACTGGACAATGAATAAGGGTGACAGAAAAAGAATTGATGCCTTTGAGCTGTGGTTTTGGAGAACACTATATGTTCCATGGCCAAGAAAATGAATAGATATGTCTTGGAGAGAGTGCAGTCAGAGTATTCTTTGGAGGCAAGAATGATGACGCTTGAACTAACATACTTTGGACATATTGCTGGGGTGCTATTCCCTGGAGATGGACATGATGTTGGGAAGGGTGGGGGGTCAGCAAAGGAGGGGAAGTCCCTCAGCCAGGTGGATTGACAAGTTAACTGCTGCAATGGGCTCCTGTGTGTCAGAAAGTATGAGGATGGCACAGGGCAGGACTGGTTTCAGATCTTTTGTTCATAGGGTCATAATGAGTTGTACTCTACTCAATAGTACCTAATAACAACAACATAGAGTGGAGTAGAACTTACCTCAGAAGGCTTTCTTGGAAGTCAATCTTTACAGAAGCTGACTGCTACATCTTTCTCCCTTGGAGTGGCTGGTGAGTTCACCCCAACAACCTTTTGGTTGGCGACTGAATACTTATTCACTGTGCCACTGGGACACCTTTGAGAACAAAATTTTCCTTTGAGTAAATTGAACAATTTGATCCTGTTGTTGTTTTGTTGTTATGTGCCATCGAGTCGCTTGTGACTCATAGCGACTGTATGTACAAGAGCCCTAAACGCTGCTCTATTCTGTGCCAACCTCGCTGTCTCAAACACTCATTCCCACCACTCCACTCACAGAATCGATTCATCTCATCGAGGGTCTTCCTCTCCTGCACTGTTCCTCCACTCTCCCAAACATGACGTCCCTCTCCAAGGACCAGTCCCTCCTTGAAACATGCCCAAAGTATGTCAGACGAAGCTTCAAAATCCTTGACTCCATGGAGCATTCTGGCTTTACCCT